GAATGCAGGCACACACACTCAGCCAGGGGGCACTCGGAAGAGATGAGTGCAACTCCATTATAGGCTATTAGCCAACAAGGTCAGGGTGTCCCTAAGCCTTTGACTGCCAGATGCTGGGAGTAGATGACAGGGGATGGATCACTTGATAATTGCTCTGTTCTGTTCATAGAATCATAGAATCATAGAATATCAGGGTTGGAAGGGACCTCAGGAGGTCATCTAGTCCAACCCCCTGCTCAAAGCAGGACCAATTCCCAACTAAATCATCCCAGCCAGGGCTTTGTCAAGCCGGGCCTTAAAAACTTCCAAGGAACGAGATTCCACCACCTCCCTAGGTAAAGCATTCCAGTGCTTCACCACCCTCCTAGTGAAATAGTGTTTCCTAATATCCGACCTAGACCTCCCCCACTGCAACTTGAGACCATTGCTCCTTGTTCTGTCATCTGCCACCACTGAGAACAGCCGAGCTCCATCCTCTTTGGAACCCCCCCTCAGGTAGTTGAAAGCAGCTATCAAATCCCCCCTCATTCTTCTCTTCTGGAGACTAAACAATCTCAGTTCCCTCAGCCTCTCCTCATAAGTCATGTGCTCCAGACCCCTAATCATTTTTGTTGCCCTCCGCTGGACTCTTTCCAATATTTCCACATCCTTCTTGTAGTGTGGGGCCCAAAACTGGACACAGTACTCCAGATGAGGCCTCACCAATGTCGCATAAAGGGGAACGATCACGTCCCTCGATCTGCTGGCAATGCCCCTACTTATACAGCCCAAAATGCCATTAGCCTTCTTGGCAACAAGAGCACACTGTTGACTCATATCCAGCTTCTCGTCCACTGTGACACCTAGGTCCTTTTCTGCAGAACTGCTACCTAGCCATTCGGTCCCTAGTCTGTAGCAGTGCATCGGATTCTTCTTTTGGACCAATCCTCCAATCCTCCAATTTGTCTAGGTCCCTCTGTATCTGAACCCTACCCTCCAGCGTATCTACCATGCCTCCCAGTTTAGTGTCATCTGCAAACTTGCTGAGAGTGCAGTCCACACCATCCTCCAGATCATTAATAAAGATATTAAACAAAACCGGCCCCAGGACCGACCCTTGGGGCACTCCGCTTGAAACCGGCTGCCAACTAGACATGGAGCCATTGATCACTACCCGTTGAGCCCGACGATCTAGCCAGCTTTCTATCCACCTTACAGTCCATTCGTCCAGCCCATACTTCCTCGATCTGCTGGCAATGCCCCTACTTATACAGCCCAAAATGCCGTTAGCCTTCTTGGCAACAAGAGCACACTGTTGACTCATATCCAGCTTCTCGTCCACTGTGACCAGTAGGTCCTTTTCTGCAGAACTGCTACCTAGCCATTCGGTCCCTAGTCTGTAGCAGTGCATTGGATTTTTCCGTCCTAAGTGCAGGACTCTGCACTTATCCTTGTTGAACCTCATCAGGTTTTTTTTGGACCAATCCTCTAATTTGTCTAGGTCCCTCTGTATCTGATCCCTACCCTCTAGTGTATCTACCACACCTCCTAGTTTAGTGTCATCTGCAAACTTGCTGAGAGTGCAGTCCACACCATCCTCCAGATCATTAATAAAGATATTAAACAAAACCGGCCCCAGGACCAACCCTTGGGGCACTCCGCTTGAAACCGGCTGCCAACTAGACATGGAGCCATTGATCACTACCCGTTGAGCCCGACGATCTAGCCAGCTTTCTATCCACCTTACAGTCCATTCATCCAGCGCATACTTCTTTAACTTGCCGGCAAGAATACTGTGGGAGACCGTATCAAAAGCTTTGCTAAAGTCAAGGAATAACACATCCACTGCTTTCCCCTCATCCACAGAGCCAGTTATCTCCTCATAGAAGGCGATTAGGTTAGTGAGGCACGACTTCCCCTTGGTGAATCCATGCTGACTGTTCCTGATCACTTTCCTCTCCTCTAAGTGTTTCATAATTGATTCCTTGAGGACATGCTCCATGATTTTTCCAGGGACTGAGGTGAGGCTGACTGGCCTGTAGTTCCCCGGATCCTCCTTCTTCCCTTTTTTAAAGATGGGCACTACATTAGCCTTTTTCCAGTCATCCGGGACCTCCCCTGATCACCATGAGTTTTCAAAGATGATGGCCAATGGCTCCGCAATCACATCCGCCAACTCCTTTAGCACTCTCGGATGCAGCGCATCCGGCCCCATGGATTTGTGCTCATCCAGTTTTTCTAAATAGTCCTGAACCGCTTCTTTCTCCACGGAGGGCTGGTCACCTCCTCCCCAAACTTATGACTGTTAATTCCCTTTGGCCACTGTCAGAGACAGGATACTGTGCTTGATAGACCATTGGTCTGACCCAGTATGGCTGTTCTTTTGAGGAAGCAAAAAGGACAGTGTTTTTTGCATTCATGAGAGGGGGATCCTAGCCCTGTAGGATGGAGATGCTGGGAGATTGCTTTAGCCTGGGAGATGTTAGCCAGTGGTTTTAGCCTGTTAAAGTGGAGTTTAGACTCTAGGACGCATGTTATACCTTCTGTTTTATATGTAACCATATTCGTTATCATCATTATCCTTATTCACAATCTCTTAAATCTCAGCCTTTGGTAATAAACTTATGACTGTTTGCATTATAAATGTATCTCAGTGCTGTGACGGTACATAAGAGCTGACTCTCAGTTGAATCAAACAAGCTTGTGAGTACACTGTCCCCTTGGCAATAGCAAACCTGGTACCTTCTGAGTGTCCAGTGACAGAGGCTGAGTACACAGGGGAGTACTTTCAAGGGCCTTGGGTGCACCTACTGTTAACCTGCAAGGCAGAGTAAGGGCTGACAGCGCCCTGAGGAAATTGTTTGGGTGACTAACAGGCTGGTGGGTCAGGGAGCTGACACCCAGTTAAGCACCAACAAGTCTGCCTCTCTCTGGAGGCAGAGCGGTAACAAGGGGACACAGCCCTGGGCACCGTGAGAAAGCGTCACTGTCTCCCATGCAGGTACACAGGACATGTACTGCTTACCTTACCAGAGCACAAAGCAGCTGCACTATGGCTGTACAAACACAGGGAGAGAAAGTGTAATCTGGTGCATCCCCTGGCCACATGCAAGCAAAGGCTCAGGCTAGTGCACGTTTGGGCTTTGTGGCGTGACCTGGCAAGGTTGTGGCAGGAACAGGCCTTTGCCATGGGGAAGGGGAGGGCAGAAAGAAGACCGGGGCGGGGGGGGGGGGAAAGGCTGGGAGCCTTTCCAAAGTGATACTGAGCCGACACAGGGTGGTAAGGGCTGCTTACTGTATGCTTGTTAACAGAGCTGCCAAGCCCACAGCTGCTGGTGGCCCTGCTCCCTAGCAGAGAACACTTTGACACAGCACAGTTTAATTCAGCTCATTGTAATTCTGTCTGCAGGACCATGTTTGTGGAGCTTTTCTGCTTATTACAGTGGGGACATCTGTCTGCAGTTCCCAGCCTCAGGTCCCCCCGCATTGCCTCCAACATGCTGTGTCACGAGCCACCAGGCGGGTGCTTGCTCTGCCATCCATCTTTTCCCCCAACCCTTCTCAGGCCCGTAACTCTGTTTGTGTGCCATGATCCTGCACTGTAGCAGAGTCGGCAAATTATTAACGCACGTGTGAAATACGAAGACACTTTGCATGGATTGCCTACATCTGGGAACTGTGAAGACGGGGGAGAAAGAAAGAAAGTAAGAACTGGAAGATCCTTATTAAGAAAGACCCCAGTACCCTGCAATAACGGCCAATGCCCCAGCAGTGTCACTGGTGCCAGCTGAAGGTTTGGCCCATTACTATTGAGCACTGGAGTATTGCAACAGTAGGCTCCTAGGTCAGAGGGGGGGGCGACAATTTGGCCATCTGGAAGAGGAGACCTAGGCTTTCTGCTTTTCCCGCCTTGGTAACAAGCCTGAAAGGGAATTTTTCTGCATGGGGCAGGGAGTGAGGAGAAGAGCCTCAGTGGAAATAGAGTGATGCTGAGGGGGGCAGTGTGGCCAAGTAGTGAGGATAGGAGACAGCGAGTGAGGAGTCCTGGGTTCTCATCCCAGCTCTGCTACTGACTTGCTGGGTGAGCTGGGGCAGGTCCCCTCCCCTCTCTGCCGCTCAGCCCCCCATCGGTAAAAGGGGCAGGGCTGCTGCTGCTTACTAGCTTTTGTAAAGCAGGGTGAGACCCGCGGACACAACGCATTCTAGGAAGTGAGATTGAGACATGCTGTTGGAGGAGGCAGCTCTGGTGTTGTGCTGACTCTCCCAGCTCCGTGTGAGCATAGCTCTGGGCAATGAGGGAGCTGAGACACTCAGCCCCTCCACCTGGCACCCCCTCCCAGCCTCACAATGGCAGCACTTCCAGGGGAGCTGAGGGAGCTGGAGCAGACCAAGCCAGGTGCTGGTGATTCTCCGAGCAGGCCTCTCACAGCCTCCCTGTCCCACCAAAGAGGGTCTCCGGAGGGCTGGGGCAAAGGGACTCCAGGCAGCCATCTTGGGTGAGAAGAGTCGCACACCTGCGTCCCTGATCTGGTCCAAAATGCTGCCTCAGGAGGGAGCTGGGACTCAGATGGATGCAAACTCTTTTGCAGTCAGTCTCTATGATGTGCCAGACTGGTACGCTGGGTCTAGGCCCCATGGGCGTTGGGGGAGTTGGGAGCTGATGTCAATCCAGATCCAAATGTTGCTGTTTGGGCCCACCCCATCATCCAGGGGTATAACTGGGAATTGCCCTGTGTGTATGCAGGGGTGTTGAGATGTATCCATATAAGCAGCCTGCCTGTGTGTATACAGGTCTACATTGGGGTGCCACCTGTCCAAGTTTCCCAGGATTGTCTTGTTTTTGAGGAAGCTGTCCTGGATGAAATGGTTCAGAGGTCCCATTTTTTGTACCTCGCAGGTGGCAGCCCTAGCCTAGACAGAGATCCACAGGTGTTTAGCTGTGTATATGCAGGGCTAACGCAGACCGAAACAGGAGGGGAAGCACCCACTGCCCCAGACAAGGAGGAAGGGAAGCAGCTTACCCAAGCCAGGAAGGGGTTCACGTCCATTCCCCTTCTCTCTGTGTTTCCCCTTGTGAGCGTAGATGGTGGGGGTGTGGCTGTGTATAGATGGATGGGAATCCTTAGGACTTGAGTGGATTCATGTTCAAATCGATTCCAAAGGGGAACCAGCATGTCCCTAATCCTGATTTCCCCTTCCTCCAGAGTCATGCTTGGAAACAAGGAGTCACAGTATTCCTGCAAGCAGCATCTCCTGTGCCAATTCTGCGCACAGTGCCGCCAAGCCGTCGGACGCCGTGCCCTGGGGTGGCTTTGGTATTTCCCATGCAGTGAGCAGATGCCTGAGTCAAAGGCGGCTCTGAAGTCCTTCCCTGGGAACAGTCGGATGCCTGAGCTGTCTCTGAGCTCACCAAGCGGAGCTGATGCCATGTCAGCACATAAGGACTCCAGATCCCTGCAACTAAAATGTTCCGTTTGCAGCAGAGGGTTAGAAAACCAGAGCTTCCAAAACAAATGGGACTTGTTGACCTGAGCACTGGGAAATGCTGCCAAGATGCTGTTGGGAGTGAAAGTCCAAGCAAACATTTGTTTAATCCCCTCCCACTCCCCCTTTGCAGGGTCAACATGCTCAAAACAAACACTTTAAGGACCAATTCCCAGCCCCTTTTCCATTCCCCCTCCCTCCGGATGTGTCAGTGCAGGATGGCACAGGACACCTTGGGCAGCTCATTGCAGCTGTCCCTGAATCAATCAGGCAACCACTGCTAAGCCATGGACTGAACACCATGGGGCTGATTTCCCCCACTGCCCCATGTGGGTCTCAGCAACCACCACATGCTTAAGGAGCATGCAAGAGCTCTGCTTTATTCTGAGTCCAGTTCTAACTGGCTGTGCACAACAACAAGAGGAAACTCTTTAGGTGTGGCTGCACTGCAGCTGGAGAGCAGACAACACACACTCACTTCGACGGAGCTATTGTGCTTTAAACAGCAGTGTGGGCGGGGCTAGTCACCCCAAGTACAATCCCATCCGAGACCATAGGTATAGAGCTAGCCCCTCTCGCCCCCCCTTCCACCATAGCTACACTGCTATTTTTAGCATGTTAGCTGGGTCAAAGGTAGCGCGTCTATGTCTACCTGAACTGGAAATTACACTTCCAACTCCTGTGCAGACAAACCTTCAGTCTGGGAAGCTCAGCCCGTAACGGCAAAGTCCCTCACACTACACCCTGCACAGAGTCCAATTATACATCCCAGTGCAAAGAGAGTTGAAACGGGATATAAAAGGCTCCCAGTTGGTTTAGTAGCATTTCACATGCACTTTGCACTGGTGTAATGAATGCAGGAGGTACAAGGCAGTGGAGAACCAAGCCCAAGATCTCTTCCCTCCTCACTTTTATTCTAGAGGGTGCCCCTTGGTCTAGGGCTGCCAACTTTGTAATTGTACAAAACCGAACACCCTTGCCCTGCCCCTGCCCTGCTTCTTCCTCGAGGCCCCGCCCCTTCTCTGAGGCCCTGCCCCCCTCTCACTCCATCCCCCTCCCTCTGTTGCTCCCTCTCCCCCACCTTGAGTCACTCATTTTCACTGGACTGGGCAAGGGGGTTGGGGTATGAGAGAGGGTGAGGGCACCAGCTGGGGTTGCGGGCTCTGGGGTGGGGCTGGGAATGAGAGATTTGGGCTGCAGGAGGGGGATCCAGGCTGAGGGTTAGGGTGTGGGAGGGGGTGAGGGCTCTGGCTAGGGGTGTGGGCTCTGGACTGGGGCTAGGGATGAGGGGTTTTGGGTGCAGGAGGGGGCTCTGGGCTGGAGCCAAGGGGTTTGGAGTGTGGGAGGGGGCTCTGGGCTGAGGCAGGGGGTTCGGTGTGAGAAAGGTTATGGGGTCTGGGCTGGGTATGTGTGCTCTAGGGTGGGGCCAGAAATGAGGGGTTCAGGATGCAAGAGGGGGCTCCAGGCTGGGGCAGGGGGGTTGGGCATGGGAGGGGGTTTGGGGTGCAGGCTCCGGGAGTGAGTTTGGGTGCAGGAGGGGGCTCTGGGATGGGGTAGGGGGTTGGAGTGTGGGGGGTGAAGGCTCTAGCAGGGGGTGTGGGCTTTGGGGTGGAGCCAGGGATGAGAGGTTTGGGGTGCAGGACACTGGGGCCAAGGGGTTCGGAATGCGGGAGCGGGCTCAGGGCTGGGGTAGGGGGTTGGGGCGCAGGAGGACATTCAGGGTGCAGGCAGCTTATCTCAGGCAGCTCCCGGAAGCGGCAACATATCCCTCGGCTCCTAGTTGCAGGGGCAGCCAGGCGGCTCTGCGTTGTGCATGCTGCCTCTGCCTGCAGGTGCCGCCCCACAGCTCCCATTGGCCGTGGTTCCCGGCCAATGGGAGCTGTGGAGCTGGCACTCAGGGCAGAGGCAGCGTAAAGAGCCCCCTGGCTGTCCCTCCACCTCCGAGGGACATGTCACCGCTTCTAGGGAGCCACGCGGAGCCATGTAGGGAGGCTATCACTCTGCATCAACCAGACTGTTAACGGCCCAGTCAGCAGGTGCTGACCAGAGCCATCATGGTCCCTTTTCGACAGGCTGTTCCAGTCAAAAACTGGACATCTGGCACCTGCCTTGGTCCCATCTTCACATTTTCCTCCCTACAAGCCTTCTGACAAAAGACCATCCAATCGTAGAGGTGGGGGAGTGAGAGATGGGGGAGCAGGGAGTCTAGCAGAACTGGGAGCTCACAGTTTCCCTTCTCTTGATATGCTCAATCTACATAGGTTTAAGTCCCATTCAGATCTGGCTGTACTTGTTACTGTCCAGCAAAGGAGGCAAAACCCTCAGCACAATTCCAGCTGCCCCAAGACTACTGGAGCCAGTCCAGGAAGCAGATGTGTCCCCGGTAGACCCCAGCTGCTGCATGCCCAGTTCTCACACAGGATTCTACCAGCTGCTACTTTGCCCACTTTGCCAGCTTCATCACCCTGATTTACCCATGGGCAACCAACCAGGAATATCTATGGGGAGGAGCAAAGGTGCATAAGCAAAAAAGCTGCCAGGCAGCCCTGGAAGATATCAGATAAATGAAGAAGTGAAATCTATGAGTCTGCTCGACCCCACTGCCAGAGACTGCCCAGGTTTCACCTCCCAGCCCTCATGGCTGGCTGTTCTCGGTCCCTGGGCATTGATGGTGGAAGGGAAGGGGCATTCTGGGGGCCCTCTGCCTCCCCCCTCCCAAAGATGGCCTAGCAATACAGTACGCTACGGCCCAGAGCCACAGAGCTATTTCGGGGCCTCACTTGCATTGAAATCAATGGAAGTGAGGAGCCTAAATAGCTCTGTGGATCTGGGCCTATCTCCCATTTTTGTAGAAAATGCTGGGAGGGAGGGGGGAAGAATCCCAATTAGGAGAGCACTATGTGTGATATCGGGAATTGTACCTTTAAGGGCTGAGCTGGGTGTGTTGGGTCAGGGCTGTGTCCAGGGGTGGCTCCAGGCACCAGCTTACCAAGCAAGTGCTTGGGGCGGCCATTTTGGAGAGGGGCGGCACGTCCAGCTGTTCGGCGGCAATTCGGCGGACGGTCCCTCACTCCTGCTCGGAGCGAAGGACCTCCCGCCGAATTGCCGCCACAGATCGTTATCGCGGCTTTTTTGTTTTTTTTGTTTTTTTTTGTTTGGCTGCTTGGGGCGGCCAAGCCCCTGGAGCTGGCCCTGGCTGTGTCGCAGGGAGGGAGAGCTCCCTCTTTCTAGGGTGACCAGACGTCCCGATTTTATCGGGACTGTCCCGATATTTGCTTGTTTGTCCCGCATCCCGACCGATGTGCGGTCGGGACACTGGACAAACAAGCAATTTTGCCGTCCCGGAGGAACTCTCGCCCCCCCCCCCGCGCCCCGGCTCCGCCTCCTCCTTCCCCCATTGGCTCCCTCCCCAAATCCCTGCCCTGGCCCCGCCTCTTCCCCAACCACGCGGCATTCCTCCTCCCTCCCAGGCTTGCAGCATGGCGGCGCAAGCCTGGGAGGGAGGGTGGCGTTTCCTGGAGCTGGTGAGTCAGCTCCGGCACCGGGTGGGCAAGGGGGCTGCTCCCCCAGGAGGGAGACGAGGGGGCTCAGCTCTGAGCCCTTCGCCGCACCAGAGGGCTCCTGCCCAGGCCGCTGCACAGTGGGGGTCTGGGGCTGGAGCCGAGGAGAGCGGCTGGTGCTGGGGGAACATGGAGCAGAGACCGAGCAGCGGTTACAGGATGGGTTGGCTGCTGCCACCATCCAGGGGATTGAGCGAGCTCCGGGAAAGCACTGGGGCCGGGCAGGAAAGTGCCTCTGCCGGCCCAGGGCCCTCGGATCGCGCAGCCCCGGGAACCTGCTCCCCTGGTGTAGTGATGCTGCAGGAGGGAGCCGCATTAACACGGTGATTAGCCCCGTGCTCTCTGCTCCAGCCAGGACCTGCTCCGGGGCCAGAGCTCGGAGTCAGGTAGCAAATGGGAGGGAAACTGCTCAGACCAGCTTCACCGGGACCATGAAGCAGCCCTTTCCTGCACCCACACGTTTGTGCTCTGGACCAGTCCCTGGGAGGACCCCTTCGGTGTGCCAGGCTCCCTTAGGGTCACCAGGGCAAGCCCCTTGGCTTCACCGCCGCCTTCAGGGCCCGGGGCCGGGAGCGCAGCGTGGAGGCTGCTCCAGCCCTGCAGCCCGCGGGGCAGCGTGGTGGGTCCGGGGCGAACACGCTCCTGCCAGGAGGGGCTGGGCCCGGCTGCCTGGTTCGCCCCCTGCCCGGGTCCCCAAGCTCCCCGTGGCCGGAGAGGGGCTGTCCGGGGCTGCGGGGGCGAGTGTCCCAGCCCTGGCGGGGTGGAGCGGAGCAGCCCCTGCTGCAGGTCCGGGGCGACGGAGCCCGGGAACGGCTGGGCAGGGAGCTGCAGGAGGGGCCTGGAGCGTGGCTTGGCTGGGGGGTGCTCTGGCCGTTTTGGGGTTTTTTCCCCCCTCCGCCCCCGGCTTTTTTTTTTCCCGCCCACCCCTCCCCCCCCTGCGCATCCCGATATTTAATCTGTGACATCTGGTCACCCTACCTCTTTCCCAAGTGTGCATGCGCACACCCCAGAGGCTCTGCTGCTGGATCTGTGGTGACAGGAGAACTGAACCACAATGAATAACACCCATCACCTGCAATGCCAAGTGACATGGAATGAAAGGGAGACCTGCAAGGGCCCTGTGTCCAGCTGCCCTAGCCCTGGAGGAGAGGGTGGAATGGTGACTTTGAGTCCTACCTCCCACTTGTCTCCTCTGTCCATACCTCAGGTCGTCTTTCACCTTGGACTCACCCTCTCGGGTGTGCACATCTGCCTATCACCATCACTGCCCCGCCTCTTGC